GTGTGTGTGTGTGTATATGTATGTATACGCCCAAAGCCCGTGATGTTGTCCACACGACATTGTAAAATCTACGAACAGGAATGCACTTTTGATCGTGATCAATACTGCATTTTTCTCTTAGACTCGCATATGCAAAACATTGACTATCTAAATGCTTGTCCAGATATCAATACATAAACATATGCACCACAATACTTGCCAGTGAGCATATACACCCCATTGGATAGAACATTGTCTGTGCCGCAGCGTGAATATAAATACATATACCTACCACGAAACACGTTTATGTCAAATTACGCTCCGGTTGCCATGGTTACTAACGTCTGCAAGCATGAACAAATATACGCCTGTGCGGCCATCCACATCGACCGCAATCGATATTGCATGCAAGTCTATCCATATCCCACAGGTTCACTCTGTATACACAATGCAGAACAACCATGTATGCGGACCTACAGTAGTGCATAGCTGACTGGTGTCCATTGCGTATGTACGTACAGATACACCGGGACACTGGTGGAGGCGTTGCGTGTGCTAGGCCGATTGGACGACTGTACAGAGACCATCAAGCAACGGCTGCAGCGAGAACTGACAGGTGTCACTGTCAGTGTGGTACAAGAGGTCAATCGCAAGACCAAACCCAAGCTTGGGTCCAGCCTGGACGCGTACCGGAAGAAGTCGACAAAGAAGGCGTTGGCATGGAAACCAGAGGCCAAGGAGGATCTCATATCACAAGACAGCCAAACGCAGAGCCAGAAGTATCTGGTTAAGATCTTGGAACTTTTGTTCGAGCGCCTGCAGGACATCTTTGAAACACATGTGTGGACTCTGGATCTCGTGAAGGCTAAAAACGCCAATGCGGGGGTATGCTACAGCGATATATGTACCTACAGTGCTATATGTATACCTACAATCCAGAGATATGTTACTACAATGCAGGGATATATTACATCTATATGTATACCTACAATGCTATATGTGTACCTACAATGCTATATGTATACCTACAATGGTATATGTGTATC